AAGAAAGTGGGATACTGCAGGAGGCCGACTGGCCCATACAGGGCAGATCCCTTTCACACCCATCCCAGCACTTCCATGTGCCTATCCAACTTCGTCTTGAAGCTCCCTAGCGTCCCCGATCCTACTATAGCACTCGGTAGCCTATTCCACATATCCACAACTCTATTACCAAACCAGTGCTTGCCTATATCCTTTCTGAATCGGAATTTATCTAATTTAAAGCCATTTGTTCTAGTTATTTCGTTATTACTGAGCTTCAGAACATCTTCCATTTTACCCTTGTTAATCCCACTTACCCACTTGAACACCTCTATCATATCTCCCCTATCTCTACGCCTCTCTAATGAATGCAAGCCTAAGCTTTTCAGTCTTTCTTCATATGGAAGGTTTCTAATATTATGGATCATGTTTGTCATTCTTCTTTGTACTCTCTCCAAAGAATCTATGTCCATTCTATAATAAGGACACTAGAATTGAACCGCATAATCCATGTGTGGCCTCACTAATGCTCGGTAAAGTTTCAAGATAACGTCAGCAGTTATGTTACTCACACTCCTAGATATGAACCCAAGAATCCTGTTTGCCTTGTTGAGAGCGCTAATACATTGTTTTCTAGGTTTCAAGTCGTTGCTAACAAATACACCTAGATCTTTTTCACAATCTGAGTTTTCTATTTCCGTGTTACCTAGTTTATACTTAACGTTTGTATTCGTCTTCCCTATCTGTAGTACCTTGCATTTATCAGTATTAAAATTCATTTGCCAGTCTACTGACCACTCATGTAAGGTATCTAGATCTCTTTGAAGGTGTTCAAAGTCACTGTCTGAATTTATCACTCTCCCCATTTTGGTATCATCTGCAAATTTACTAATCCTACTAGTTATACCTAAATCAAGATCATTAATGAATATAACAAACAGCAGAGGGCCTAATACAGATCCCTGGGGAACTCCGCTTTTGACAGCACCCCAGTCTGACTTAAATCCATTTATGCTGACTCTTTGTTTCCTACCAGTTAACCATGACCTAATCCATATTAATAATGATCCACCTATTCCATGTGATTCTACCTTCCTTATCAATCTCTCATGAGGGACTCTATCGAATGCTTTACTGAAATCTAAATAAATTATATCATATGACTTATCATTATCTACTGCTTCATATACTTCTGAGAAAAAGCTAAGCAAATTTGTGAGACAAGAACGTCCCTGGGTGAACCCGTGCTGAGAAGAATGAATTAAGTTGAATGTTTCAAGGTGGCTTCTGATTTTCGTAGCAATAATTCTAGCAACTTGCCTATGATTGACGTGAGACTAATGGGACGGTAATTTGATGCAATTGATTTATCATCTTTTTTGAAAATCGGAACTACATTTGCAAGTTTCCAAGCTTCTGGCACTAGGCCCGATTCTAATGACTTATTAAATAAAACTGCTAATGGATTACTCAACTCATCTCTACATTCTTTTAATATTCTAGCATATACCTCGTCTGGACCAGGCGATTTATGAGGCTTCAGTTTGTTAATTTCTTTAAGCACATCGTTACTAGTAATATTGATATTCATCAACATATTTTCTATACTGTCGTTATATACCTTATGAACTTCTGGAAACTGTGCTAGGTTTTCATTTGTGAATACGGAGCGAAAATGACTATTTAACGTACTACACATTTCTAACTCATCATCAGTCATTTCTCCTGTCGTAGTTTTAAGGGGACCTATTGTATCTCTAACCTTTGATTTATACAGTTGATAAAAAGCTTTGGGGTTATTTTTCGATTCGTTTGCTACCTTGATTTCATAATTTCTCTTTGCTTTCCTAATTTCTGTTTTTACCTGTCTTGTTAGGTTCTGATAGTAACCAAGTAAGTGATTTTCGCCTTTCTTAACTTTCCTATATACTCCTTTCTTTTTCCCTAGAAGATCTAAGAGTCTATTATTCATCCATTTTGGTTGGTTCCGTATCGATCTGAATTTTCTTTTAGGGATGTGTTTATTTTGAGCATTATGGATTGTCGCAATAAATTGTTCATAAGTAGCTGCTAAATTAAATTCGGGGTTCTCCCGTCCTAAGTTGACAGTTTCCGGAGGTGTGGGGGGGATTAATCTTTTGACCATAGGGTCATCCCTTAGGTCTCTCCTTAAGCTACCGTAATTAGCCTTCCTAAAATCCGGGATCAAGGCCGAATTTTCCTTCTTCCTGCCATTCCATATTATGTTAAAATATATGGCTTTATGATCACTGTTTCCTAGTTCGTCTCCAATCCCAACATCTTTTACTAGATTTTCATTATTACTGAGAACTAAATCGAGGATAATATTTCCTCTAGTGGGCGAGTTTATGAATTGATATAAAAAACTATCTTGTACTACTTCTAGAAAATCTTCAGATTCATTATCGCTAAGTTGATCTTTCCAATCTAAGCCTGAAAAGTTGAAATCGCCTAGAATACATACATTGTTTCTATCAGATGCCTTCCTTATTTCCTCCCATAGCAATTTACCATCGTTCCTACTCAAATTAGGTGGTCTATATATAACACCAATGACTACGGACTCATTGCCCTCACCTATCTCTACCCAAATACTTTCATTGTCGCTATTTGTTTTAATGTTTGATTTATTGCAGCTTTTTAATGACACCCTGATATACACTGCTACACCGCCCCCTCTCCTTCCTACTCTGTCAAATTTAAATAGGTTATATCCTGGAATATGAAATTCTGCTAAAAATGTTTGCTGTTTGAATTTATCCATGTTTCCGTTATTGCAATTATATCTATGTTCTCTTTACTAACAATGGCTCTGAGCTGGTCCATTTTGTTACACAAGCTTCTACTATTAGTATAATAAACACTCAATATATTTCTTCCGTTTCTATCTGTTTTACATTTATTACTTTGATGTTTGTTATTATGACTAACTATATTTTCAGCATTATCTACTTCTGTTTCACTGCTGTTATTTTCACATGGTATTTTCCTCTCTTTACCATTGATGGGATTTGGACATATTAAAACCCCACCTTTACTACCCTGTCAACTATCTTCGCTAGCACGGCCACCCCCTTCCTACTTAAATGCACCCCATCCCTTGCATACATACTATCATTACCATAGTACAGGCTCCAATTATCAATGAATGGCGTCGACAGCTCTTTACACTGTTCTTCCAACCAGCAATTGAAACCGATTGCACGGGACATCCATTCACGACTGGCACCACGTCTAGGTAGGATAGAGCAAGCAATAGGAGTTCCACCCTTCACCCTAATCTTATCTAGAGCTTCCCTATACAGCTTACGCAGTTCGACACTGGTAAGCTTACCTACGTCATTGCCTCCTGCACTGAGTAAGACTATGGGGTTGTCTCCACAGTCATCAATGACGTTCTCCACTCTCTCCAGTACTCTACCTATCCCTGCCCCGGGGAGACACTCGAGCTTCCTAACTTTAGTGCAGAGATTGTTACCTAAATACTTCACCATCGAGTCTCCCATGACAGAAACACATTTGACCTTACCTGAGTGTGGTGATTTCTTACCTGCGCTACTCCCTCTCTCCACACTAACAGAGGGAGTAGCACTCGTGGTGTTACTAGCACCTTCCTCACACTCGTCACTTAAGGTGCTGAACCTGTTGTTTAGGTCTACAGCTGAGTGCCTTTTTAGAGTGCATTTTGTAGCACTAGCAGCAACTACCTTCCATGAATCCACTTCAACTTCACCGTCCTTCACGACACTGGCAAAGGTTTTCTTCTCCTCTAAAACTAGCTTCAAGGCTAAGTTTTCGCCCTTGAGACTCTGGACCTCCTTCTCAACCTTCTCCAGTCGGTCTTGCAAGGCAAGACAAAGGTGGAGAACGTGAGAGGTGGTCGAGTACTCGTCAGCAGCTGCCATGTCACTATATCACTCACTAACACTGACAGGAACACAGGTCCGCACTGTGTCTACTGCTTCGGGTTCACGAGTTTGAATCGTGGTTCGCGACAGGACTTTTTTGGGTGACTGTACACAATGTTCATACCCAGTGCAAGTATACGATGTTCATACCCAGTGCAGGTATACAATTTCATACCCAGTGCAGGTATACAATATTCATACCCAGGGCAGGTATACAATGTTCATACCCAGTGCAGGTATACGATGTTCATAGACAGTGAAGGTATACGATGTTCATAGACAGTGCAGGTATACAATGTTCATACCCAGTGCAGGTATACGATGTTCATAGACAGTGAAGGTATACGATGTTCATAGACAGTGCAGGAATACAATGTTCATACCCAGTGCAGGTATACGATGTTCATAGACAGTGAAGGTATACGATGTTCATAGACAGTGCAGGTATACGATGTTCATAGACAGTGCAGGTATACAATTTCATACCCAGTGCAGGTATACGATGTTCATAGACAGTGAAGGTATTGTAGTGGATTTCTCCCCTACAAACGCTGTTTGTCGCTGAGTAGCCGACCCCACCAATTCCCCAGTGTACCAACTCTCTTCTTCTAGCTACTGCCGCAGCAAGCTACACCTCCTCCTCCGCCTGCCTGGTGGTCCTCGCTCCCGCCGGAGAGCATGGCGACCCACAAGCTGGCCCTCCTCTGAGCACCCTCACCAACCAGCTCTCTCTACATCACGCTTGTAACCATGCTGCCTTCCCAGCACCAAGCTGCATTGTACATCCAATACAACATGTACAGTATACATGAGAACACAAACATCTCATCCCCACAGTATACGATGTTCATAGACAGTACAGGTACCGGTATACAAGCACTGGTAAAGGGCAAGTCGATATGAACAATGATGTTTCCGGCCCCAGCATACCTTAAGTGTTACTAAATCGTTATTAGACGAAACAAAATTCCAAGTTCCTGATTTATTTTAATGTGAGTCCGTTGCCCGGGTATTGCGCAGCAGCCGTGTAGGACAACCAGCGTTACGGTACGATAACTGGCAACTGAGGTACGACGTCTAGTGCTGAGAGTCCCATACTTGAGACTTCAGTTTGTAAACAAACATGGCAGACAACGTTGGTATGGAAGAGTCTTCTACCCCGCCTGTGGTCGGGTCCACAGATCCCTGCCAGTCTATTTTACCTACGGTGCTGCACATGATAGAGGATAACACCGCAAACTTCAAAAATGACGATTCTGAGTATGGACAGCGATTACACAGTGGATTTGTTCTACTCAAAGAGAACATGGACAAGGTGATAGAGCTCTCCGAGAGTGTAAGGAAGGAGGTGCATTTATATGATTTTGACGCAGAGACTCCTGGAAATGGTTTTAGAAGTTTCAACAACATCGTACAACAAGCGATACTCAGTGTGTTCGACTTATGCAAGCAAATATGCACTGGCAGAGATTCCTTGCTCTTCAGGAAAGGCCATTTTGTCAGGTGATTACAACAAACGTCTTTAATATATGTTAATAATTGTTATGGTACTGGGTGAGGAGTGGATGACCACATTATTTCAATAAATTTGTTTAAGTTGCCACCATGCGATTTTGAAGTTAAAAATATCCTATAGTTTTAGATGTTTTGAACGAATTTAACCCTAGTTTCTATCGTAAATCACTAATTTTTGAGATATGCCCCCAATCACCTCAGAATCAAGTGATTTGTGATAGGAATGAAGGTTAAATTGGTTCAAAACCTAACCTAACCTCCTAACTGGGATGCTCTCCCCCCGAACCCCCCAGCATATTATAGGTCATTTGCATGGGAAACGTCATAGAAGAAAAGTGCCTTAAAATTGTCTGAACTATTGATTACAAAGATAAAAGTCCCGAGGTATGGCTGTTGGCAATTTATACACGAATACCATTATTTCTTGATTATTTTTAATTGGGACTTCACTTATACAGTACAGTATACTGTAATTCTCTTAATGTCTGAAATGCATAACTGGTGGGGGAGGAAGGAACTGATTAGTAGTACATACCTCAAACAATCCTAAGATAATTTTGATTCATTTGGCTTGGTTCATGCGGTCTCTATTTCTGTAACAGCTTTTACATCCATTTCTTTTCTTTGCCCTCCATTGAAATTGCACTCTGTGAATAAAGTTAAAAAAGGCTCTCATAAAAAATATCAAGATATAAAGTGGCAGAAAAATATTGATTATACAGTATTGTATAATCACAGATACTCACTCTCATCTGTGAGTACTCACTCTGTGAGTATACCCAAAAGTAGATCTATTCATCTGAAATGTGATTCTGGGTATGGTAGAATTTAAGGGCAGTTGCCTGGATTATCCAGCCACCCATGGAAAATCTTCAAAGAAGAAAACTTTTGCTGGGTGGAGGAATAGCACTTTCTCTATTCAGGTTTTTGCCCTTATTTTATCCTGTAAATAATCACAGACATCACTGTCATAAGCCTGCTTCGATGCCATCTTGCACGTGACAAAAGACAAATGCCATGCGCATCGATGACCTATCAATGAACTTTCCCCCATACAAATTCTTGTCCATTTTTTTTCCGCACAATCCTAATAGTAACCTAAAATAATAAAAATAAATTTTCATCCTAGATTAGGTACCATAGGTAAATAGATTTTGTTGATTCGTGTGTATCACCAAACTAATACAAGCACATAAAATTATGAGGAAACTTGCAAATCCTGCCTACCTAATGTTATTAAAAATTGTCATATTCCTTTTTTGTGATACAGTATTATTATTGTTATTAAGAAGAAATTTATTTTCACCTTTTAAAAATTTTTTAAAGTTATTATTAATGTCTGTGAAATATTTGAATGACAATGATGACAATAGATCCGAATGCTCGGGTAAATGAAGGGTAGCAGTAGCTCATTCCAGCACTGGCTGTGTATTTCTTTAACAAGGATAAAATTTATGGACAACAACTTAAAAAGGAAAAGTGCTATTTCTTCACCAAATTTACTTTATTTTTGAGGTAAGAAATATATTTTCTTCTAGATATTTTTTCTTTGGTGGCTGGATAACCCGGGAAACTGTCCTTAAGTTTTACCAATTTGATGAACCAAACAAAAGAAAATTGCTGTGTAACCAGATATCCATGTCAGTACAGCTACTCCTCGACTTACGACATACTCGACCTATGACCACCCGGACATACAACCGCCTCAGTCGTACCAAAATTTTGTCAAATTATGTATTTTCGAGTCCCAACGTTAGTGATTGCGCTGTGTACTGACAAAATTTTCGTTTGTAATTCACTTAAAAATGGCTGGCAAGCTTAAAAGTGAGAGTTTTGTGGTGCTGAGAAGAAAAAGAGACACCCATTTTAGATTTTCTATGTATTATTTAAGCTGTACTGTACACGTACTACACACATTTCTATTTTTATTTTTTTTCAGGGAAGTTGAAGCATGGGGGCAGACCTTGGCATCACTGGTTGTGCTGCTGGAATACATTGAAAATATGTTGTTGCCACGTTGTGAAGATGGGAACCTTCTGTCTGGTATCAGTAGTTCACCAAATGAGTTAATGAGTATGCTCAACTCAGTACCACAGTACTCCTTTTATGGGCGTTGTCTGGGATTTCATGTGAGTACTGTACACTGTATTAACCACAAATTCTCTGACTACATAAAATTTTTGGGTTATTTTTTCTGACATCATTTAGTCTGCCAAGGCCCTCATTTTTTTTCTTGTCTAGCTAACTGTTGGAGGTTATTTCAGGTGAAGCTAATACTGTACTTTGTCATCCCCTTTTTATAGAGATATATTTTGCATCATGTACTAAATTACTGTACCGGTACTTGCATTAGCTGCTATAAATATTTTCAATCTTTTTCCATTTCATGTCAACAAAATACTGTACAGTCAGAGGAAATGAGAAATTTATCAAAATATTTTGTACTTGTGTAATTTAGGTACGTTTAATTTCTTTCTAAAGGGTCTTTTTGGGGTTCTTTAAAATTTAAAAAACCTAGAATATAAAGGCTTAGATTAAAATATTTTTTATTACAGTATTATCCATCTCTTCGGAAAACTCTGAAGTATCTGAATATTTGTCTGAGTGCATTCAGTGAGGTGTACTATGCTGATGGCAACAGCTTCATGCAACGAACAAAAAATACAGTCATGTCAAGTAAGTTGGAGAGGAATGAAAGCTTGATAATTATTAAACAAAAATTTATAGCTTTGTATGAAAACATTCAGAAAAATTATGACAATTTCTGTTGAATAGTTTTATAAGTAAACCTCTAAAATTGCTATGCCATTTTCTGAAATCTTGAGTGCTTTGAAATCTTACTGAAAATTTCCGTCATCAGGTAGCAGATATGTTGTTGATGCTGAACTTCGATCACGAAGAATTGTTGATGTTGTCCAGTACTCTTCTGTGGAATTCATTAAAGCCTTTTGGTCTGTGGCAGAAACAGGTACAGAATGAGGAATTCATATACTGTACTGTACAGTACAGGGTGGGCAAGAAATAACTCGCACACCGATGGGTCTCTACGTCCTTATAAATGTGTCAGTTATATTTGCTCTCCCTGTACATATATTATGTCCTCAAAATTATGTTTCGAGATAATGTAACAACTCATGTAAAACGTATTCTTCTTTGTACATCTACATTTTAATCTTATTGCAGTATATCACACCACTGGTTCATTTGATGGCAATCTAGAATCCCGACTCAGAGGCCTGAGTTTTACCCTTTGACTAGGTACAGTTAATAGGGCATTATACTGTCGCTGTGTGTACTAAGCTGGTCATCTACATCAATACCCAGGGCTAAGTTGTCCCTTCTCTTCAGGAGATTGGCACCCAGCAAATTGTTGGAATTAATGTGAAGAATGTTGAGTTTTAGCTTTAGTTCTGAGTTCACCCCTCATTGATGATACTCAAATACTCAAAGGTACTTGCACATCAAACTCTTGATGTTAAATATATTAGAATTTGGTCCTTATGTTCCACATCAAGAAAAGGTTGGTACTCATTCTAAAATGTTCTCCAGATTTCATGACACAACTGCCAGGGATTGTTGGTCCTAGTTTGGCTGTGCAGCAGGTAGTAATTGTTCCATGTGAGGAGCAGCAGGTCACCAAGATGGATGGTACAGCTACAGTTGTTGTTCCTCCTCCCCACTCACACATCGAGGCACGACCCATTACTTGCCACTTGCTGTCAACACAGCTCCGTGAAGGAATGGTAGGCGGGAAGGTAGGGTAGAGAGACTCAGGTAGGCATGGGAGTGTCATGGCTGCATGGCTTCAGAAAGAATTGTAATACATACAGTATTCAGGAAAGTTTAATCTGTTTTAGCATGCGATAAGAATATTCTTAAAAAGGGGAGGAGGCTTAAAATACTTCAATGCATGTTTTTCTGGGCTTGTTAATTGTTTATTATAATGAAGCAAAGTGTTAGCTACATGAAATTGACATTCCCGGCATATGCTGTGTCAACATCTGCCTTTCTAATTAACCCCTTCCTTACCACACTTCCCAGCTTGCCTATCATGTATGATGGTAGATATAGATGTTAGAGTGAGTTATAGGTATTTAAACATGTGGTAAGGAAGGGATAAAGGAACCGTTTTAGAAGAAAATAACAAATGACTATTGCCATTATGATGGAATATGAAAAATTAAACAAGGCTCTATGCACATTGTTAATGTTAGGACACAGTGTTTTTGTTTTTGTTTGTGTGTGTGTGTGTGTTTTTAAGAGAAAGATCAAGAGGTTAACAGACATTCGATAAAAGGATTGGCTTATTGTAATTTCTATTTAAAAAAAACTAACCACAGGACTGTACACCACCCCCTCGCTCAACACATATTCATGCAACACAGATTCGCTCAAACGTTTTTTTATTACTAACCGGTATCTCTTAACATGGGGCTAAGATGCGCTTGAACGTAAGTTGAGTCGGGCAGTCAGTTAGAAAATGTTTTGAGCGGGCCATTTGAACCAGCTATTGGTCGAATCCATTACAGTCCACGGGTAGCATCCCCATGCACCACATGGGCTCACAGTTTCTTTAGTGCTTGATTCGGCCACAACCAAAAACTTCGCTGGGAATAACTTCAGTTTTTTTTGCCTGCTTTCGTCACCATGGCTCCACCTAAACGTTCTCTAAAGTGTCCCTCTCCCTAAGGACACTCCAGCAAAGAAAAATAGGACCATGTTTACCCTAAAAATTAAGTTAGACATTCTTGAACGATTAGAGAAAGGCCAGTCCACCGCCTCTGTCAGACGTGATTTCTCCTGCTGAAAAGATTAGTGTGCCACTGTGCAGCAGTCTACTTCACTGTCTGCACAGAAAACAACAAGAATAAGAAACCCAAGTGAATTTGGTAGATATATCTGTATTAGTGAGCTACTTTAGAACTGTATGACGTCTTTGAACTTTGTTTGTTGGGGGTGGACTTTTTGGGGTCCATCTGACACATCCTCTATCTTATGTTATAATGGGTTCACTCTACACAGCATTTTCTGGGAACGCAACCTCCGTGTTAAGCGAGGGGGCAGTGTACAGTTATCTTTAAATGCATCATACAGTCTCTTCTCTTTCTCCACCGTGTTCACAACTAATATTGTTGAATTCTAGTCCACTCACCCACTTCCCTATGTATAATAATCCTGTTTATTTCTCTTGCATTGATATCATTAGTTTATTCCTTTCTCTACTGTACTATATTGATTTTTTCTCTTGCAACTTGGCAGTTTGTGTATGTTCATCTCCCACTGTTATTACTTCCCCACAAATGAAACTGATAAAACAAAATCATCAACAGCTTATCCAGTTTCTTTGATACATACCATTGTAAGCTGTGATGGTTACTGGATCCTTGATTTCATAACAAAATCTTCCATAATCTTTACAATTTTATACAGCCTGGAGAGAAGGACCACAAGGGAGCATCAGTCCTACCCCCATCAGATTGCCTCCTAATTCATTGTCATGGTGGAGGCTTCGTGACCCAGTCTACCAAAGCCCAAGAAGTGAGTAGCTTAGTCTTCATTAATTACTTTACTCACACACACACACAGTAATGAGACTGCCAATAAAGCTTCACATTTCTTAAGACTTTTTTTATGAATTACCATTTACACCCAGACTCATTATAAATGTTTATTTACAGGTATTCCTAAGGGAGTGGGCAGTTAGTGTTGGTGTTCCAATTCTCTCAATTGATTACTCTTTAGCACCAGAAGCCCCCTATCCACGACCTCTGGAAGAAGTGTTGACTGTTTACTGTTGGGTGCTGAACAACATGAACCTCTTGGGCTCTACAGGATCAAAGATTATCATGACAGGTAAAATAATCAAAAGGGAATTACAGTAGAATGCCAAAGTGTTGTTTCAATGGAATAATTTAGTTTGGTACTTGAGAGAAACACAAAACTAAAAAGACTAAGAGTCTACCCAGATGCGTCTCAGCCCATCTCCTAGAATAAGAGTCTACCCAGATGCGTCTCAGCCCATCTCCTAGAATAAACGAAACATTGTTTTTTTGCAGTATTATGTTAAAATAAACACTCATAAATCAACATAGCTAAAATTATGGGATGTGAAATGGTCTGTTTGGTAGTGATCAGCTGATGTGAAGATGGGGAGTAGAGGTGATATGTTTGACAGTTGATGCCAAGGTCTAGTGCTTATTTGTACTTGAGTGACTAAGTTTTTCTCTTATAAAATGTCACTGAACTGACAAATTTTAATTAATTTTATTACAAAGGGCTAAAATTTTTATCTCGTGCAAAATATATGACGGTTTTATTCAAATTATTCACTGTCTTGCAAGGATTCTAGCAATGCAAATTAAATTCTCCTAACTTTAGTCTGTGATATTATATAAGATAAAAACTGTAAGCCTATAACCACCAAACCCTGGCTGGGAAGATGGAGGAGAGGGAGGGAGGGGAGGGGAGGGAAGTGACAGTTGTGCCAAGATCTAGTGAAGTATTTGTTTGTTTATTTATGTCCTTTAGATTGAGTTTTTGTTTTTTGCTTATAAAATGTCATAGAAGTGACCTGGGAGAATATAATTTACATTGCTGGAATTCTTATAAGATAGTGAGTAATTTGAATATAATCATGCTATAGTTTGCACTAGACAAATATTTTAGTAATCATTTAGTACATTATTTTGAGTACATGTACAGTACAGCTTTGCCCTTAGGACAGTGTAGAATGCCCAGAGAAACATTAGGCGCGAATTTTAAAATATGATGCGCCAGATTGACTCGCACAAAATAGGAAAGATTCACTTTAAATTAAAACATTGTCCTTAATTGTGGGTGTCGCTTTAAATCAATAATCTTAAATTGAATTGCTTTAAATCGACGTTCTACTGTACTGTATATGATCAATGTTAGGAGTAAATGTAATCCATCTACATCTAGTAAGACTTCCTTCACCAAAAAACTGTATTGATTTCTGGGAATGGAAGTGATGGTGGGGTGATGTGGAAGGGGAGAAACATAGCAGAATACTTGTTACAACAGTCAGAACAAATGACAGTGAATGACTAGGAAGTCTAAGAGGGTAAAATTTAATTAAATATTAACATAGTAACCAAGATGAAAGAATCTATTAATAAAATATATAGTGAACTTTTCTTCTAATTAGGTTGTTGTTCGTAGGTGACAGTGCTGGAGGTAACTTAATTGCGGGACTCACAATAAAGTGTTTGGAGCTTGGAATACGCCCAGCAGATGGCTTATTCTTTGCCTATACACCATTTGTCTTTGAACTTGTCCCATCGCCTGCGAGGCTGCTAGCTGTCATGGATCCTATGCTGCCTCTGGGTTTTGCTCTGAGATGTCTTAAAGGTACAGTATGTACAGTAATTCTTAGACACATCAGTCTCTAATGTGCTCTTTTATTTTTTTTTTGCTAGTAGTCCAGTAATCACCACCACAGGAGGTTATAGTGTGTAGACCCCTCATGTTTGAATTTTTAATTTGAGGTTCATTTTTAGTTTGTCATCCTTCAAAATTCTTAAAATTGGTGAATACTGTTTCTTTTTTACATTTTGATTCTGAATATGTAATATGTTTTACATACATTGTGGATATAATGTACCTCTTCTAATGCAGCACCCCTTGAATTTTTTGTGGTGCTCAGAAAAGGCAGTGCTTGTAGGTATGATTTCATAAAGACTTTGGTATTATCTCATTAGTCTAAGGTGTCTGACAAGTACTGTAATAAGGTTTTCCTTGTTTTTAGCTTATGCGGGCGTCTCAAGTGGACAAACATCTCGAGTCACTTCACCTGGAGATATAACATTGCCGACACTCAGCTCTCAAACATCTAGGGTTTCTACGAATTCAGAGTACACAGATGCTGCTATAGACAATACCCCAGTTTCACTTAATATACCTCAGACAAAGTCAGGTGTGTCAGACCCACAAAGTGACACAGAATCCTTTGTTGAAGTCTCAGAAAGTGATGTAAAAGAAGCTGAAGCATTGGTCAAAAGTCCCTCATTCCTCTCAGACCCAGGATCTGACACCCTTACAACTGTCTCATTAACATCAGAGGCATCCAAACTAGAAGACTCATCCATAAAGAATAGCAATGGTAGTGGTAACCAGAAACCCCGAGAAAAAGAGGAACGCTCCAGGCGATATGTAACTGAGTTTTTGGAAAAATATGTCCTAGATTCTCGCACAGACAAACAAGTAAGTCCATGTTACTTCGTGCTCCATATCAGATACAGTATACAATAATTGTGAGTACTGTACAGCATTGTATAGATTAATCAGACCTCATTGTTTTTTATACAGTACAGTACTGTATAATCTTATTCAGATCCCCATGTCATGAAAATTCTGACCCATTCATATATTTACTATTTTGTTCACATTATTCTATATTACCTGTAGCAACCGTCCTTCATTATTATATTACTATATACAGTGTACCTCCAGTTTACAGTCCTCTCTCTCTTTGCCTGTCAGGGTCGAAGAGTCCCTATACTTCGCACTGGAAGTGAGGAGAGTGAACAGGAGGATGAAACTGTACTATTTGAGGCTCCAAGCGTGGGTGCAGGCATCACTGCTAAACTTGGCCGAGCCAAGGATGCTGTTGTTAGTGGCATATCAGCAGGACTGACATCATTTGGACTCAAAAGAAAGGAAAGCGTTTCATCACCAACTTCTCCTGTAAAGCCACCACCAGCAACTACAGCTGCAAAGAGGTCAGTGGTTGAACAAATGTTACCAAAGGTGGATTTGCAAGTTGACAGTGAGTGATAGATGAGTGGTGAGAAAGAAAAAGAAATGAATGCTGTGAAATTGGTCTAAGAAAGTTCATGACTGTCAAGTATGCTAATGAATTGGTTGTAATGGAAATTAAATTAAACAATGGGTGTGTGAAGGCTTAGGTTAAGAAATATGCAGATGATTACTGTAATTAGATAATTTGTTGTAACTTTGGAATTGATAATTGGCACTAAAATATGAAACTGACCTTTGCCACATAAAATTTTGACACAAATTAACTAGAAAATGTTTACAAAGACTCAGACAACATCGTTACATACTGTGAGTTTTCACATGGACATGGAAAATGCTTCTCATCTGATGGTGACTTTTCAATACAGTTACTTGTGGTAGAAGTGAGTACAGTACGTCATAAGGGTGTTTTGGAAAAAAGTTTCGTAATTCTAAGGGTGTAAACCTGACGCATACATACGGATAAATGACCATGACCATAATTTCAATATCCCTTAGGTTTGGACCTATAGCAGATGACAGTTGGGGTTGGAATATGATAAAATCTATGAAGTGTAAATGAAATATCCAGTGTTGCTCGTACAATTTATTTACAGTCATTATGGGAACGTAAAAGTCAAGGGTCAACTCATCTGTGAGTCACAATATGGCGTCAGGTCAAGCATACACAGACACAGGACCCCCCTCCCCCCCCCCCTTCATCACCTTGCTGGCTGACGGACGTCACTGGTTAAACTTGTACAGAGAGGTGGGGGTCATGCAGAACATGAAAAATTCACATCTGGGTATTATCCTCTCAGAATGTTAATTTGTCTACTTGGCACTGCTTATCTGTATAGCCTGGTATATTGTATAACCTCATTTATAAGTGACCAGCAGCTAGATGACAGTTTACCTTTCAGATTGATCCACACTGTTAACTTCCATTTAGTAAAAGCAAGACAATTTATAAGTCGCTGAAAGTTTAGTATTTCTGTTTGTAACCCTCCCCCGTCCCATACAGATGGTGGTGAAGGATCCCCACATGATCCTGTTTTCTAATACAGTATCTGTTTCTTAACACCTACTTCAAATTTAATTGAGATAGCTGTACATAAATTCTTGAAGGTGTTGTAGATCTGTTAAATAATTAATTTCTCTACTTGTAGGCCATCTCTGGGTCAAATCCTCATGGGTAAATCACCATCAAGGAAGAACAGCCGCTGTAGCCTGATGGAGGAATTCAGTGGCGTGGAAATCATAAGTGACCATTATCTCAGCCCTCTCACTGCCCCAAAAGAAATCCTGGCCAAATTCCCTCCTTGTGCAATTCTTGTGAGTCTCACTTCTACCAAATTTTACCAGTTGCTTAGTGATATATATATATACAGGGTGTCCCATAAGTTTCCATAAAGTTTCCATACAACGTATCACCAACGCCATTACAAGCATAACTCCAGCTGTGCTTGAACGTGTTCTTCAGCAGTGGAGGACACGCATTGAAGAGTGTTTTCAACAGAATGGTAGTCATGTAGAGCATATTATATAAATAAAAATGGATTTTCATATAAAATTTATTTTTCCTATGTATGGAAATTTATGGGACACCCTGTATATATATATATATATATATATATATATATATATATATATATATATATATATATATATATATATATATATATATATATATATATATATATATATATATATATATATATATATATATATAAAACAGCTTATGGAAAGTATTTAAGAGAAAATATATCCTTGTATAATCTTTAATTCCAAAATTACTCCTTTGTATATACAGTAGTCACAATAACAACAGGAAAGAACACTCTCCATTGCAAAGAAAAGTCTGAGTAAATATTTATTAAAATCACAATCTCCTTTACCTAAATGATCCTTAAGTTGATGTCAGAATAATACTAAAAGTGTTGAAAGAATTATGTGAATAAGTGTACTCATCTGCCTGTCGCCATTCTGCTATTTTACATTCAAAATAATATCATTGCCAGTTTATATGCAAAACTGAACAGCAGATTCCATTCTCTATTTCTTTATGGTTGGTAACATTTCATCAGTTCTTTATCTGTTATCTGAGGGTTTGATTACATTTCAGACTGTAGAGTATGACTTCTGCTTGGATGATGATGTTACAATGGCCAAAACATTGAAGTCCTTGGGTGTGCCTGTCACCATTGATATTCTAGAACGACTCCCACATGGATTCCTCAGCCTGTCTCTGGTGTCACAAGAGGCACATAATGGATGCAAAAAGGCCATTGAGTGCATAAAGCAACTCTTAAGTAAGGAAGATACTGAACAACATGTAAGTGGTGATGCGAAGAGTTAGGTTACACTCTGAAAGATTACAATTGATATTTGTTTTGAAAGTACTTGCATCTTTATGCATACCGGGTAATCAAATATAAGTATTTTTAATGATTTTGTACAGTACCTTACGGGTAAAGTATGTTTTTATTTTTATTTTTTTGCCAATATGTAATATTTATTAAGAGCTGTGCAAAAGAGCATTTCAATAAATTTTACATTTTATATATCATGTTTAAGTGATAATATTTTTACCTTAGCTATTTATTCTTATGCATAACTGGAACAGTCTTTGAGTTGGATCATTAGAAGTGATATTTTTACTTGAAGCAGGATTTTTATGTTCTGCTTGTTAGCCAGATTATCCAGTTCATCTGAAATCTAAGCTAATCCCAGTTGTTTCAGGAACAATATTTTCAATTATTAGATGAATGAAGATGTTACTACCCTGACCTTAGTTAAACACTTAACATATTTGCATTCATTTCATCATTCAAGAGTCATTACAGTTTATTTAATGATTTGTAAGCCACACAAGTTTTTGAACCTCTTAAGGCCTTCTACCTCAACATTTAGTGAACAATTTGTTGAAGGAAACACTTCATCCAGTTTTACATTTATTTCACACACACACACACACACACTCTCATCTTATTTTTTCTTTTCTAGAACACGATTAAACATCGTCCTGATTTGTAATTATATTGTAAACAAATAAATTAAAGGATTATTTTATATTTTAAACTTTTAAGTCTGTGATGCTTATTTTGTCAGTTAAGGAATAGGATTTAGGGTTCATTTAATACAGAGTAAAAGTTTGGAGAGCGAGTAGTCTAAATTGATTGTGATAAATTATTTATTTCCCCATCTTTCATGCCGACTTAGTTGTATTGAGGATCTGTTAAATACAATCCACTTCTTTAATTGAATGTATATTGATGAACAAAAAACTAGTCATGATTTATATTAGTTGTTGGCGATGAGTGGTTGACCGTCATAATGGCAGCCTAAACCAGAGTGACCAGAGCCACCAAAAGCTCCACCCTCGAGCTGGACAAATATTATCAGGACTTCGACGAGCCAGAGCCTCTCGGCAGCAAAAACCGGATCAGACTGGAGCCGGGTACTGGAGAGTATGAGGACGCTATCCAGCAAGTGGCACATATCAGTGCCACAGATGCCTCCAAGCTCAAAGAGCTATCAACACTGATAGTTAAACAGTTTTCTGCTGTCCATATAAAGCTGGACACTATTATGCAATGCATGGCAACTCATGAATGAAACCAGGATTAATGCCCTAGAACTGGCTCCTCAGCCCATTGCTCTGGTTCAGCCTGAACAGGATGATGATGAGTATGATGCTGATGACTTCTAAATGAATGAAAAAGTGGTTGACGCACATAAGCCATGGATGGATATAGTGAGGTTCCCATGGTGTGAGCGAGCCATAACTGCATGATAGTCAGAAGTGGGGTGTTGAATGTAGTTGATTAAAAAAACAAAGGTCAGATGCACTGAAGGCAGGTGGTAATAGATAAAGCAGGGCCTGTGTAAGAAATCTATCAATAAGTTGGCAAGACAGCTGACATAAGTGTTCATTGAGCTCACTTGTAATAAATTATTATCAGTCACTAATGACTTACTTAAAAGCTCTCTTTAGGTTTATAACGTATAAGATTGTGATCTGTGATAAAGATGACAGATCCCTAACCCCGTCCCCATCCACCATGTTGGTCACTTATGACAGCCAACATGAAGGATACATTCTTTACAACCTGACCCAGAAAGTCAAAGATGGGTACATTACATTACAGCAGTTGTGCTTATTGATTAATGAATTGGTTTAATTTGTGTTTGTTGATTGATTAATAGTTACCAGTTGTGTTGACAAATAAATAGTTAGCAGTTGTATTGGTTGATAGATAAATAGATTGATTGATGCTAATTATATTGGTTGAGATAGATAGCAGATGTGTTATTTGATAGATAGATAGATAGATAACTGCTGTAGATACCAGTTATGTTATGCTATCCCTTTGAATATTCATACCTGATTTATACCTTCGGTAGTGGGATTTTTTTTAGAAAGTCATATTGATCACCACTACTAAATTCATAGTACAGTACTACATATCATAGGCGATGCTTTTGCTGTGTCTTATTTGTAAGAAGCAGCTGTTGGCTTTAAAAAGGCTCTATGAGGTAACAAATGCATGGATTAATTTAGTAGAGTACTAGAGTACTGAAAAGATATATATATATATATATATACAGTATATATATATATATATATATATATATATATATATATATATATATATATATATATATATATATATATATATATATATATATATATATATATATATATATCAAGATATGCAAGCTGTGTACAGTATTATTATTTTTGGTTTCAATGCTTTAAGTGATTGCTACACAGGTTTAAGTGTGTGGCTCCACTGTGCTTGAGTTTTATCCCATTACTGGAAAATTGTTATCTGCCATGCTAGAATAATAACTAATGCCAATATAATACTCTTGTCCACCACACCTCAAAATTATTAAGCTTGAAAAAGTTACCAATAGCAATCTTTATTACTGGTATGTATTTCAGACTTAGTGATAACATGATAATTACTTATAACTAGACCAGTATTCACAAGGTGTCAACTGTCATGTCAGTTTATCAACAATAAACATGTGACTGATAGTGTAATCTTGTTTATGTCTTCTCTCATAATAATGATGCAACTTTTCAGTTGCTGCCATCTTTGAATTTTTTTGTGGTGATCCCTGTGTCTGTATTCTACGAAGAGTAATGTGCAGTATATCGTATACTGTATTTAAAAAAAAAAAAAAAATAAATTGTATATACCGCATGCAAATATGGAATACTCATAACTTGAGTAAGAGGAAATAATGTAGTTACAATTTAAACTGGATAAAAATGAGGAGAGCACATCATAAAATCACAGGTAACTACAGTAAAATGACAAGGGACAACAGATATAAAAAAGTCTTTAGCAATATACAGTACAGCATTTGGTGCCACGATGAACAAATTGCAAACACTTTTATGTAGTACAGTATAGTACATTTCCTTCGTAGTAGAGGAATTTTCTGTTGCAAAATGCAATGCAATATTTATTATACTTTCCCTGAGTGAACATGTAGATCTATATATGCAAAAAGGACTATTATTCTTAAGAACATATGTGCTTGCAGTATTATGATTTTGTATATCTAGAACTACTTAACACTGTGTGTATGCTTTAAAGAATAGTGCTCTTGCTGTTTGATTATACTGTACCTGTAATTACTCACTCTAACTACGTCATGTAAGGCAGTCATTGCCCTATTTATCTATGTCTTTATATCTAGCTATGTAATTATGTATGTCTAGAGTATAACTGGGAAACCAAAAGATCTCTTGACAGCCACTTAGAGTAGTTGTGTTTTGGGGATCAAAAGGCAAAAACTGCATAATGCAAGGATCTTGACCTGCTGCATAGAGTGAAAAAAAGTGTACCGGTAATAGATATTGTTATGATGTCAATGCAACAATTTCTTCCTTTCTCCACCAGTGTACATGTAAAGTACACAGCTTGTCAGAAAATTAACAGAAACACAGATGATCAGTATGCATGTTAGCTGTGGCATGTTGGAGCTGATACTGCACTTAAAATATTAAGGAAACTGTGAAGTACTTCTTCATAGCCTGTATTCCAGATCTTTAATTGTGACACTGCTTTTAAAATCTGCATATTTACTGATATATAAATATTTTTATTGAACATAATAGCTGTCTAGTTGAAGGAAAAATGAAGGCCAAATAGTAACTTAATGGCCAAAAAATTTGTCACTGCCTACAGTTGAAGTTATGGGCAGATGATATCTACTGTATTTAATAATATAGTATTCATACTGGTTAAATTTCCACTTTTCTGTATATTAAGGATCACTCCCTTATGTCTTTGCTAATCAAATAATTAGTGAAGTTTACTCTTTGCTTCGTAATGTCAAAAGTCAAAATAAAATATAAATTATACTTAATATGCTGATACATTCCAACACACATTAGTTAAGGACTATGCATAATATGATCGTTTTGTTTTTATCATATTAAAAGATTATATACATAGCACAGTATAATATTAAAGCTGAAATTCCATTTAGATTTAAAGAGAATGGTGCTGATGCTCTTTAAGCCAGGCATTAAAGTGGGAGGCTTACATGGTCTTCAATTTCTTGTCAATTGGTAGTTATCCTAAAAAAAAAAAACGTAGGCAGTTGTTCCTGAAGCCATCCAGACACAGATGTCCATGGTACTAAATTGTCACCAAATAAAATTTCTGTTCGTACTGTACATCAGATAAGAAATTCACCAGTTGAAGGTTAACACTATGCCCCTTGGGCTTGTATTGGAGGGTTTTAATTGGTAATCAGAATTTTATTTATAAAGCAACAGCTTGATAAGTTGACAACTTTAACTGACTTTTAGGTAAAATTATGAATCCAATCTCAAGAAAGCTTCTCTACTCATTGTCTTCATTTCATTACTCAAAGTGGTTGTAATTTATCCTTTTTGTTTCAATATTTACAGTAATAATGCCACAGCCCTCATGATCCTGTCTTCTGAAATTTTCCTTGGACTTTCTACTGTATCATTTACTGAAATCCTTTATTGAAGGGAGATAAGATTATCTAGGATGAAGGTAAAGCATCCAGCATGTTCAGAAGAGGTGAGGGAATATGTAAAGGGTAATGGTGTGGGGGGAATGAAGCTAGGGAAGTGTGTTCAGATAAGGTTGTCAGGAAGTTTTTCTGTAAGGTACACATGAAAATCCACTGATCAGAGTTTGAATCTTATTTTTGAAAATTGCTTAGTTTAGCCTAACCAAGCTTGGCCTAAGACTGTCATAACATAACCTTACCAATTTACAAAATATGGCTCAATCTTGTATGTGTGGACTTTTGTGGATAAAGGTACCCAGGGTGGAGGGGCTAAAGTTAGATATATAAAACTCACTACCAGTATACAGTACTTGGTAAGAAGTGGTGAAGGAGAAGACAAGTAAACATGTTCTCGTATTGCTTTCTTGTAGTCATTCTTTCATCTACATTTGTAGTCTGTCAGTCTCTTGGTATTCTACCACATCAATGACATACAGCAGACACCTTGGAAGACTGACCTCTAGCAAGTCTAAATAGCATACACAATAAGAGGATGTAGTTGTGGTAGAATATTGATCATGGAAGGCTTCTACCCTGGAGATGGGTGGTGGAGTAAATATGCAGAATTATATATCAGACCTAATAGATAATGCATTGTGTTTTCTCAACTTTCAACACTTGTTACAGAGACATTGTTAATATTTTCAAATTACCCCGATATATGATATACAGTAGCAACAAGAATGATTTTCTAGTTTTCATCTACAAATTTGTAACTAAATAATTAGCCTTTCGGTTGAGAAAATACAGAATTGGTTTAATGAAAAGAAGTAATTTTCTCCAAGGAAGAAATGTTACTAATGACTTGGTTTTTAATAGGAGAAAATTTAACATAATCAGTTCCTCAAAAGTTATGAAACAAATAAGATGTCATGTTAGAGGTTCAAAGTTGTCAATACTGTACTGTGTTTTAAAGCATGTGTATGTATATAGGTAAACATTTTTATACTGTGTCTGTGGACTTGAAAATTATTAAACTACCTGTACTTTTTTTTTAACCGCTGAACTTGAAAAAAATTCAAGTGTGTTGGGGAGATATATCCCCACAATACCTTTGAAGCAAATTCAGTGACATTACACTTAATTTTTATGCCTAAAGACACCGTTTAAAACCTTCTTTACATGCACACACTTATATTTTAGTCAAAAGTATCATGCCAATTTTCAGTCTCTTGTGTGATATATATATATATATATATATATATATATATATATATATATATATATATATATATATATATATATATATATATATATATATATATATATATATATATATATATATATATATATATATATTCAGAGTAATCTTTAAAAGAAATCATCCTTTACAACACGGGGTGGAAAACTTCCATGACCAAAGTATTTTAACCATCTGGTATGGTCACACATATAAACTGTACAGTATATGTAAAGTACAGTACAGTATTGTATTATAAAGGATCCTAGTTTTTATATGCCTGCAAATTTGCAGTCATAGTTTGGTATGGCTATGTTAGCTGTGGTAACTTTTTGTTTATCTTCTTTAATTTATAGGAGTTTTACAGACTGTTACTCATAAATATACAGTACTGTATGGTAGCTATGGGTCAAGTTCAGATTTGATGACTCTTGCATTTGTTCCAGGGTTATGCCCTTTATGTTAGAAAAAATAAATAGATCCTGCCAGGTTGCAGGTGTATGATGCTTCCATATGTAGATCTTTTCGTTAAAAACTTGTTTTCATGTGTATACTGTATGCATAGTTTAGTAAATACTTTTATATTTTTTAGCAGTATCACATCCCTTTAGGTACAGTATGTTTATTTCCTGAGAAACTAAACAATTACTGTATTGTATTTATTAGAAGAGTAATAAATGGAATTATATATTTCAACATTCCTAACATAGTCTTGGTGTATGCAGTCCTTTGCTAGGTATTACATTCTTATCTCTGCTATGATGGTGCCCATCTGGTCTAAGTGTTCAATAATGTACAGTATATATATATATATATATATATATATATATATATATATATATATATATATATATATATATATATATATATATATATATATATATATATATATATATATATATAAAATATATATATATATATATATATATATATATATATATATATATATATATATATACTGTATATATATATATAATGCCATAATATTGTGATAGCTTGTCATGTATAAAACAGAAATCTTATAATTATAGCAATATCTTTGACTTGTCATATATCTTCTTTATCAACACTGGTTTTGTATATACAGTATACATATACAATTTATGGATATTAAAGTGAAGACTTAACCAATGGATTTGTTTATTTTCCTTATCTTACTTATGATGCTTCAGCAGCATCACTCCCTTAAGGAGGTTGGCCATAGAAGAATAGCCTCAAGGCTCTGCTCTACATTCACCTAGTTCGAGAGTTGTAAAAAGTACAAGCCTTTGTTACTTAAGTAGAAGTATTGTTACATTTGCAAAATGTTACTCATAGAGTATTAAAAATATCCAAAGTTCAAGGCATTCAAGTA